ATTTTCTCTAACATTGGTACAGGTTGATATTTTAATAGAGTTTTTCCACAAATATTCCCAAGAGTCAATCTTTGTTCATATTTATTGTCCACTTTAACATTTGCTCTTTAACTGTCTCATCTTCCGTGTACCATTTTAATACAATTTTATACATATTTGAAATCTTTTTTTTCCCTCCTCTTTCCCAAATGTTCTCTGACTATTTCTGAAGTGCCAGCGAGGTGCTTGGATGCTGCAGGTACAGGATTTAAAGCAGGCCCTTGCCCCCAGTGGCTTGCAGTGGAAAGACAACATAGTGGTACTAACCCCCATCCGCTGTACAGGCTGCAGGGAAGGGGCACAGAAAGATGATTGGCAGGGATGTGGATTGCTGGGGCAGAACTGTATGGTAAGAATCCATCAGGCAACTGGCCCTCACTTTCTGGGGTAGACTATGCAGGTCTACCCCAGAAGTAAATCCTATTTTATTAAGTAGGGCTTACACCCAGTTCGAGACCCAAGTGTGCCACATGACGGAGTGAGCTCCCATCTCTAGTTCCAGCTCCTGCCAACCTAGCAGTTCGAAAGCAAGAAATTGCAAGTAGATAAATAGGTACCACTTCAGTTGGGAAGGTAACAGCGTTCCGTGCGCCTTGGTGCTTAGTCATGCCGGCCACATGACCACGGAAATGTCTTCAGACAGCGCTGGCTCTTCGGCTTGGAAACAGAGATGAGCACCGCAACCCTAGTGTCGGATTCGACTGGCTTTTGAGCAAGGGAACCTTTACCTTTACCTTTACTCCCAGGAAAGTGTTTGTAGGATTGCAGACTCTGTTGCTGAACTTTGGTGAGCGATAAACCCATCCGCCTTGAAGTCACTCGTGAAAGAGGGACTGCATGGGACTACATGGGATTACACATGACACTTGGTGTGGGGCTGCCACTGAAAATGGCAGGACCCTGTCGAGTTGTCCCCATGTATTTTTTATTTAAAAAACATTTCTATGCCACCTTCCCACCCAAATCGGGTCCCCACAATGTTTATTTAGCCGTATGTATATAATTTCCCCATCACCTGCAACCAATTCTGTGGGTCAGGGAAATAACACAGGGGAAGCCTGAGGAAATGTTAGAAACTAGCATTTATTCTATAGGTCGCATCACTGGTGTGGGTGCGTTGTGTTAATTGCTTTTTTAAATTCTTACAAATTCATTCCTGATTCAGATTAGATAGTGCAGTAGGGGAGATAATGAAAATGGGGTTGGCTAGTGATATGAGCCATTACTCTGTGTAGTAGTAGTAGCAGCAGCAGCCTTCTCATTTGGTGGCCAAAGTATTTGTGCTTCAGTTTCATTATCTGGCCTTCCAGGGAGCAGTCAGGGTTGATTTCTTTTAGGATTGACTGATTTGATCTCCTTGCAGTCCAAGGGACTCTCAAGAGTCTTCTCCAGCACCATAGTTCAAAAGAATCTATTCTTCAGCGCTCGGCCTTCCTTATAGTCCAACTCTCGCAGCCATACATGACTACTGGGAATACAGGGTGCAATGAAATAACCTGTCTGCTGGCTTATATCAAACTAACAAAATGGGAATTAGAGAAGATAGTAATGTTTTTTGAAATCCTGTAAGCTGGGTTCAATCATGTAAAAATGATGAGCGGGCCAGGCTACCATAAGCTGTTTGGGAGAATAGCAAATCAATTTTTTAACTATCCTTCAAAAACCCAGAGGTGTTGCTGTGTTCCCAATGACATCATCAACAGCACAACAGACACACCATATTAAACACCACCACCTAACTTGTCTCTCATTAGTTCCTGCCCCTTTCCTCTCTCTGGTAGCAGCATTAATATATTTGTGAGGCATCCATTTCCTCTCTTAGGCCAGGGACACTGAGACAAAAGCATCCCAGGCACAAAGAATCCAGAGACATGTAGATACCAGGGTGCACAATGTCCCTACTCGATGCTCAGGTCCACTGGCAAATTGCACGATTTACCAGTATATGCTCCGTTTATATTCTGACCCAAAGAAGGGGAAATGAAATCCATTTTATAAGGTTACAAAGCATTATGAGCCAGAGAAATTAGTATGCAGAACCAAGTAAACATGAGCTTTGGTGACATTACTGATGTAAATGTGGAGCATCAGACATTGAATAGAAAGTGATGCTTGGTATGAATAAGATGTTCAGCCAAATGGGACAGCCAGGACAAACAGATATTCCTTATCTTTGTCACTTTTTATGTTAATTTCTATTTTTGTCAGTGATCTGTTTGGTCTGTTTGATAGTGGCCCCGGTCACACGGGCCAGATAATGGGGGGGGGAGGCGTGGCTGTTTGCCCCGGAGCAAAAGAACGTGCAGTAGCCCAATCAGACGGTCCCCAGAGTCTTCGTGCTTAGGCTGTTAGCTGGCGATCACATGGCGATGCTGGAGCGTGGCAAAGAAGCAGTGTGACAAGCGTTTCGCGTTTGTGCGCATGCACTCTCGCGTTTGTGTGCGCATGCACAGTTCTGCGGAGCAGCACTGCTTTCAGTTACGTGTTTGTGCGCATGCGCTTACGAAAAACATCCGGTTTGTGACGGGACGTGGACAGGCGCCGGATGCCACAAAATACTAGCGCTCCTGCTATCAAACACCCGCCCCTGCCCCACGTTTTCCGGATACTAGTGCACTTTCCAAGGTACTTTTTTACTGCGCATCTTCAGTGGGATGCCATGGGTTGGCCACAGGTGCGCTACACTTCCCAGATGCTGCAGTGTGATCGTACCCCGAAAATCCACCTGCCATTCGTGCCTTTAGCGCAGCAAATCCTCCATGTGACCGGGGCCAGTATTGCAATACGGATGATTGCAGTTTTTATACATATCGTGTGTGTACAGAAGAAGAAGAAGAAGAGATTGGATTTATACCCCGCCCTTCACTACCCAAGGGAGTCTCAGAGCAGCTTACAAACTCCTTTCCCTTCCCCTCCCCACAACAGACACCCTGTGCGGTAGGTGGGGCTGAGAGAGCTCTGACAGAAACTGCTCTTTTTCAAGAACAGCTGTTATCAGAACTACAGCTTGCCCAAGGTCATCCAGGAAGTGCAAGTGGAGGAGTGGGGAATCAAACCAGGTGTAACAGGCCGGATTAACCCCCCGGCCAGAGTAACCCCGGGGTTACTCTGGCCGAGGCTAGAGTAGCCCCGGGTGAATCTGGCCGGCTGTAACAGGCCAGATTCACCACCCAGCCAGAGT